AAAGCCACATCTTGGATCATTTTGGTAAACTCTTCCAATCCGAGGCTTCCCATCTTGTGGATACATGGTTTAACATTGCTAGAACTTGCTTCACCTCTGAAGATAATAATCGTCTCCTTGCCCCTGTGTCTAACTCCGAAATATGGACAACCATCAAAAACATTAAAGCTTTCAAAGCCCTGGGGAAGGATGGCCTCCAAGCTGTCTTTTACCACAAACACTGGAACACTATTAGCACCTCTGTTTGCCATTTTATCCAAGACTGTTTCCATCACAAAAATGTCCCCAAAGATATCAATGAAACTCTCATCACCCTCATACCCATGTTGGATAATCCTGAGTCTTTAAAACAATTTAGACCCATCAATCTTTGCAATGTCATTTATAAATCCATCGCCAAAATCATTGTCAACAGGCTCAGACCTCTCCTTCCTGACCTTATCAGCCCCGACCAGTACAGCTTCATCTCTGGCAGAACCACCACTGATAATATTATCATAACCCAAGAAATCCTTCATACACGTAGATGTAAAAAAGGTAAGCTTGGCGGTATGATCCTCAAAATTGACCTTGAGAAAGCCTACAATTGAATTTCCTGGGATTTCATACACCATACGCTCAAAGAATTCAAGCTAACTCCTGACTGGATCACTCTCATCATGAATTGTGTGACTTCTGTAAATTCTGCCATAGTCTGGAATGGTGAAACCTTACCTAGCATCAGTGTGGGAAGAGGTCTCAGACAAGGGGATCCTCTCTCCCCTTATTTGTTTGTCCTATGCATGGAAAATCTCTTCAACATGATTCGTATCAAAACTGAAAGTGGAAGATGGAAGGGCCTCAAAGCTTTCAATAACAGCCCTCTCATTTCCGACCTATTTTTTGCTGATGATTTGATTCTCTTTGCTAAAGCTAATAGAAGTAATTGTAGTTGCATTATGGAAGTTCTATCTGAGTTTTGTGACATGTCTGGTCAAAGAATTAATTTTCATAAATCCAAAATGTACATCTCCCCTAATATCCCTAGAAAAGACGTTCTCCCTCTCAGCAATATGTATGGCATTTCTATCACTACTGACCTAGGGAAATACCTGGGTACTCCTCTCCTTCATACCAGAGTTAGCAAAAATCATTTACAAGACATTCTTGACAGAATGGCCAAAAAACTCTCTGGTTGGAAAGCCAAAACTTTATCCCTTGTAGGAAGAGCTACCCTTGTTAAGGCTGTCACCTCTTCTATGCCTAATCATCTCATGCAAACCATGGAAATTCCTAGAAGGGTCTGTGACCAAATTGATAACCTTAACAGAAATTTTCTTTAGGGTAATACAGAGGATAGGAAGAAAGTCCATGTGCTTAGTTGGCAACAAGTTTGCAAATCTAAGAGAAATGGGGGCCTTGGCATAAGACAAGCTAAAGGCCAGAACTCAGCTCTCATCTCCAAGCTGGGATGGAATTTGATTATTAACTCTGATGAGCTTTGGTGCAAAATTCTTAAAGGCAAATATCTCAAGGACCACTCAATCTCTAACTGGCCTACACAGAGGAGAGCTTCACACACTTGGAAAAGCATTATCCGAAATAAGGAGGTTCTCAGTAGAAATATAAAATGGAATGTTGGTACTGGGGAGAGCATCGCCTTATGGACTGATTGGTGGTGTGGTAACCAACCACTGTGTGTCACTCTCCCAGGGGCCCACATTGATAACTCAACTAAAGTTAGTTCTATAATTGATGAAGAAGGACAATGGGACTTAACCTCTATTCATGAATTTCTCTCCCAATCAGTGAAAGAGGAAATTCTCAGTTTGTATAGACCTAGGTATGTGACTTTTAGTGATACCCCTCATTGGAAAGGTTCCCTTAGTGGTCACTATTCAACAGCTGCAGCCTACAAAGCTATTTTGAGTAAAGACAGTGAGGAAGTGAATTGGCAGTGGATTTGGAAAATAAAAGCCCCCCATAAAACCTTTCTCTGGCTTGTTATGCATGAAAGGCTCCTAACCAACCATATGAGGCTCATCAGACAGCTTTCAAACTCTGAAATTTGCCCCAAGTGCCACACTGGTAGAGAAGAGATGCACCACTTACTTCGGGGCTGCACTAAAGCAAAGGTAATATGGATTAACCTTCAAAATTTTGACTGGTGGCAGCAGAGTATCAGCATCCCATTGCAGGATTGGATCAAGGTCAACATGAGAAGTCAGGTTCAGGTGCGCAATATTCAGTGGTCTACATTATTTTTGACAACACACTGGAGCATTTGGAAATGGCGGAACAAGGAAGTGTTTGATAATCTATCCCCTCCTATCCATGTTACTGTTAAATCCATCTTTGCACAAGCTATGGAATCTCAGGAGGCATTCCAAGCCATCTTGAATCCACATTTCAGAGATCCCAATCTAATGGTGTGGTCTTGTCCTTTTGCATGTAAACTCAAACTAAACACGGATGGAAGCTCCGAAGGAGACCCAGGCCAGTCTGGGTTTGGAGGGCTGCTCAGAGATGAAGTTGGATCCTGGGTGTGGAGGTACTTCAGCTATTTAGGCAATTGCACAAGCTTGGAAGCCGAATTGTGAGGCGTTTACAGAGGGTTAACCATTATCATGGAGAAGGGATTGACCAACATTGAAGTTGAGACAGACTCACAGTCAACTATGGAGCTGGTTCGAGATGGCCCTGCAGCAAATTCCCCCTGTCGAGCACTCATTGAGGATGCTACCTTCCTCCTAAGGCGCTGTCAATGCACAATCAAAGTCATCCCTAGAGAAGCTAACAAGAGTGCTGATGCTCTGGCCCATCTAGGTGTAAACCAGCATGAGCATACTGTCTTTCTAGAGGATCCTCCAAGCTCCATTCTATCTTTTCTGCTAACTAATATGAGCACTGTTAGCTCTAGTAGGGATTGATGTATCCCAGGAATGTAGCTGTAAAACTCTCCTTGTTTTAATCTTCGTATGAATAAAAAAAAAAGAAAAAGAAAAGAGTATCTTGATTTTTATGGAATTCTAATATACATATACAATTCTCAAGTTGAGCTCATAAAAATAACAAATTTTAAAATGAACTCAAAGTTAATCCGTTCACATAATGACACCATTCACGTTTGATTTGATTTTAAAAATAATTTTTTTCAAAAAAATTAAAAATAAAAGCTTATTTGATAAAAATAAATACTAAAAAAATATTTTTAACATTTCAAAAGATAAAATTATATAAAAAGGGTAAATTACACTGACACCCTTGAAATTTCTGTTTAATACAGATCCCCTCTTATGTTTGAAAAATTACACTTACTCCCCTATCAGATATTTTGTTTCTGTCATTTTAACAATTATTTTTTTTGGTTTAACTCACACAAATTTTCTTTTTATTATTTTTCATGCTTTTTTATTTTTACTGAATTTTTTTAAAAATATTTTAAGTGATTTTTTTATTTTATTTTTTTGATACACCCAATCTAGATATACTTAAGTATAATATTTTGTGATTTTTTTAAAAAAAAAAATCACCAAATACAAAAAAAAAATACAAAAATTCAGTAATACTGTAATAAATGTGAATGACGGTGTTTGGTAATACTGTAATAAATGTGGGTGAATAGACGTGAAAGAAAAATGATGGTAGAAATAAAAATGAAAAATTCCATTCATATACAAAAAATATCATAAAAATGTTGTGGTAGTGATGCTGTAAATAAAAATCATATTTATGAGTGTTTTGTTTTAAAATGAAAGGTCAACATTAAGCTATATCGTTGTATTTGAAAATCTTGTATAAAATTTATGTTTGTATATTATCACTCAATAAGAATATGTTCAAGTAAAATTTAATGATAGAAAATTGTAGAATATAATTATGATGATAGAAAGAAGAAATGGTAGGAAAAATGGCAAAATGATTATTTAAAAAGGTTTAGGGCATGACATCAACAATCCAGGAAGCAATTTGTAATGAGATGAATGTAATTTTTCAAACGTGAGGTGAAAATCTGTATTAAGCAGAAACCTCAGGAGGTGCCAGTGTAATTTACCCATATAGAAATTATAAATATTTTTTTATTTTTTTCACCAAATTAATATTTAGTTTTTAAAAAAAAAATCTAAAACAATAAATGTGGTCATCATCTCCAACAAACATTTAGGTCGCGTCAACGGTCTGATTGGACTAGAATGGCTATGAGTCCCACCAATATCATGTTTGGTGATGATTTGGGATGCCTTCATAGTGCGAGTGATTTAATAATCCCCTCAGTAAAGGGATTAACTTAGTTAGATAAAGCATGGGATTAGAAAAATAATGAATAGATTGAGTCTATCCAGTCGTCCTCCTGGTCGTTTGGAACAATGCTTTTTTTTTTCTTTTTTTTTAACAATTGCAATCTGTTATTTTAAAAATGAGAAATTTATATTTGTTTTAAATATTTTTTTAATATAAAAATTTTTTTTAGATTTTTTATAAAAATAATTTAGCAATTTCATCACTGACCATCTCCCATTCTATATCATCAAAACAAATACACTTTCACTTAATCTCCTCACTAACATCACACATTAACAATCACTTCATTAATCATCATTTCACTAACAATCTCATTCAACCTAATCCGCCAAACAAACGTGACCTTACAATCCATTTGGATAGTTGGTGAATTTTAATGTAAGAGTTTTGAAATTAAATAAATAAATAAAAACAATAAAAATATATATAAGTTTGACATAGAAAATACGTACACCGTAATAAGATTCTTACAGCTATAAAGATAATCCTTAGTTATTCAAATCCATCATAATAAAGAAGCTATTTAACTCATTCAAAAAATTCTTGTAAACTATTATATTTAAATTTGAACTATTGCCCTGGAATGATTAAGGTTAAATCCCTTCTTTTAAAATCCACATCTTCCCAAACACGTCCTTAATAAACTGAACGTGAATAAAATTGTTTGATTAATTTTAGGGCGGCTATAGAACGCAGGCATTCTTAAACCAGACCGATCAAGTCATGAAGGTACTGAAGTTCATATTAAAAACATCCCCAAATACACAAAAGAACACACGAGTATATAGAAATATGCAAAAGGAACATAAATATAGCCATTTATCATCTGTGCAACCATTTTGCATTCCTAATCTGACAGTTCAAATGACCCAAGACTGACTGAACAATCAAATATCAACTAAAGTAAAAGAATCAAGCACTTTCTTCTTCATATAAAATTTGAAATCAATTAATTCCAACAGAGCAGCCAGCTTATTTCGGCACATTCTTAGGTAATCAGTCGCTCTTCCCCTCTTGCGACCCAATTTCTTGCAAGTAATGTTCCGAATCCAACGCCGCCATGCACCCTGCATTAACACGAAACCAAATATTACACCCAACGAGAATAATAATGATGATGATGATGATGATATAGTTTCAAGATTGTTACCATAGAGGTTGGTACAATCAAATACAATACAACATAATCAATACGATACTATAATTTATTAGCCCTCTTGCTGAATAGTCATAATGCTTAGGCAGTCCAGATTTTCCTAAGAACATTGATACACAATTTTGCATCAAAGTCTCTGGTATAGCTTCAAAAGCTATTGCAACAGCTTCACAAATGTTTCATAAAAGAGAGAAAAACATGGAAATCAAAAAAAGTAAATGAAGGATCAGGACAAATATCTTCAAAGAAGTTTATATTAATCAAATTTATAAATCTAGAATGACTAAAGAACAAACAAAATTGATGATACATTCTAATTCCAATATATCCTTTCAATACCTTATGCTTCAGAGTAGCAAATATAGTCAGCTCTGTAACAGCACCACCGGGAATTTGGGGTGGCGGCTTCATGAGAGGGTTGAGACGGGAGTAGGGAGGGGTGGCGGCTATCTTGGCATTTTAGTGGTGGTGGTTTGGGGAGCTTCTACTTACACACTTGATTTCCTCTTAGTGCACACATTTTTTTGTTTGGAAATCAACTTTTAAACAACTATTTGGTTTGGCTGTATCTTTGGTTCGTAAGTTAATTTCCGAACAAAACTCATGATTCAGAAATCAAGTTCCAAAGTTTTTTTCGGAAAACAACTTTCAAACCAAAATTTTGAAAATTGTGTGAATTGAGATAAAGTGGTGTGTGAAAATAGAAGCTCCAGTGGTTTGTCGTGATAGAGGAGGCTGTTGGTGGTGGGGGTTGCTAGGTGTGGTAAATCTCCTCTTTCCGTCACTAATTTTGGATGGTGTTGGGCTATGTTACACGGGTTTGGGTACGGGTATCGGGTGCGGGTGCGGGTGCAAGTGCGGGTACGGCTACAGCTACGAATGCGGGTGCAAGTCTAGGGGTTGGACAATTAAAAATTAAAAATTGAGGATACGTGGATATGGATCCAAATTTAGATACGGGTACGGGGATACGTTATATATTTTTTAAAATATATATATATTTATACGAAGATGAATTAAAATAAAATAAAAAACTAAGGAATAACAGATTTTGTTAAAAACATAACAAATAAAATATACATAATAAATAAAGATTATATAAATTATTTTAGATACAAAATAAATTATATTATATATGATAAAATAAGTTATTTTTATTTTAGATATAAAAATCATATTATTTATTATATATTCTATTATTCAATTTTTTATGAGTGAATATATATATTATATAATATGAATAATATTATATATTATTATATTAATGTAATTATGTAAATAAATGTAATCAAAAGGATAAGAAAAGAGAACAGAAAGATGAAAGAGAAAAGTCAAAGATGAGAAAAGAGAACAAAGAGAAGAGAAGACACAAAAAGAAGAAGAGAGGGAGATCGAGAGAGACGAGAGGAGAGGAAGAAAGAGATCGAGAGATGAGAGAGAAGACAAAGAAGGGAGATCAAGCGAAAGTTCGATCGAGCGAAAGTTCTTTCTTGCTCTTGTCTCTTGATCGAGCAAAGTCAGCACCAATGTCTTTTCTCTTGTCTCGCGAAGTCGGCGACCAATGTCTTCTCTCTCGTCTCGCGAAGTCGGCGACCAATGTCTTCTCTCTCGTCTAGGGACCAGAGGGATCCAAGTCGTCGACCAATGTCTTGCCCTTTCGAACGGCAACCAGGTTCTTTCTTGCTCTCTCGTCTTTCATTTCTTTTGCTGTCGTTTGTAAAGAGCCGTGTCCGAGAGAGAAGAGGAGAATCCGACACAAATCCCACACCCACACCCGTGTCGTGTCAACACGGGTACTTCACCCCAAAGTGCCGAGTCCGTGTAACACAGGTGTTGGGCTTGGAGACCAAATAAAGTCTCATTTTATATTTTAGGAACCAAATTGACACAATTAAAAGGTGGGGGAACCAAAATGACATAAAAAGCATACTTTAGGGACCAAAAGTGTATTTAACCCTATATATATAGTAGTATGCATCTTTAGGTTGGGGTGGAGGATGGGGGGGTTTTCCACAAGGTGTGTGGTCACTTGGCTAAATGAGTTGGAACTGGTACTAAGGTGTGTTTGTGCTATGACATAACGTACTAATTTGGTAGGAAAGGAGGTCTAGCAACCTCTATCTTGTTCCCAGTAGGACAGGTAAGAGATTAAGGTATAGTCATTTGATAGCCTAGAGAATCTTAATTCTCAAACACAGCAGATTTCATCAAGAGAGTCAGCTTCATCATCTGATTATAAATAGGATAAATAATGCATAAAATGGAAAATAATCAAAGGGTCTTTCAAACAAGATTCATTGTTCATGTAGTGATGTGACTTGTGTCCCCTTTCTATCCTGATGGCGTAATCATTCATCTGTGCTTCAAACTCGGTCAAATAACAGAACATTTAATTTTGAATAATATTTTTCCAATGTCATGGTCTCCAAAAGAAAGTAAGGATTCCGTCCACTATTTTGCAAGATCAGTGCATTTAATGAAAAACTAGTGAAAAAAAATAATGAAAACTAGTGAATTTAATTTCCTTGCGAACAGGAAAATGTAGGGATGTGTCTCAAATGCATCAAAAACCAACTAATATTCACAAAAAGGGCTGACAAAATAATGCATCTAGAAGTTTTTATTTCTCTTTTCTATCAAGATAACCAAAGGGACAAGCCTTGAGCAAGAGTTGAGAAAAGCACACTATGATTTTTTAGTAGACCACTACACAGCTAAGCACAAGAGAAGCAGGACGATTCCAAGAGCATCAACAACGGGAACTACAGAACATTCTTGATTTTTTGAGAAAGAAGTTTGTCTAACAAAATTGTAATCATTTGCTCTTTCACATTCTTATAAAGCTCTAGCAAGGAAATTAAAACACCACCCGCTACAGAAAAAGTAAACTTCAATCACGTAAAAGCATTCAAGCCTGACAAAATATAATTTACTATTCCACATCCGACCCCAATTGAACTATCTAAAGCTGTTCTTGCCTCACCCCAATATGTTAAGCCAATATTACTGTCTTCTTGTTTTGTCCAGTTTCTCCAATGACAAACAAACCCAAGATGAAAACCAATATGATAATACAACGACAACTACAGGTACGTTTGCTTTTTGGCTTTTTTACTAAAATATGAGGTGAAAAAGAACAATATGTTTGTAAAAGACTTTTTTTACAGAAAAACATGCAAAAGGCAGTGTGAATGAGAATGAATTTTGACTTTGTAGAGTGAATTGGACAATTTTTGACGTTTTTGTATGAGTTGGAAACTTTTTGACTTTTGCTATTTTTGTGGCTTTTAGGCTAATATAGCCACTTGCCAAACGGAGCCTAATGTACTTCAAAGGTTATTGAGGACTGTTTAGTACGGAGTATGCTACAATGACCATCTCCTTTGCCACATTTCAAATACCATCTTATGTGCCACAGTTACACCCATAAATGCAATGGATCCCACATGAGTTTCATTAATATTCAATAGTCATGATTGTGCCCTAAGAAGAATGTTCACTTCTAAAAAGATGGATGTCCATGTCGGACACCGACACTACTAGTACACTTCTTGACACATGTCCGCACTCATCCAAACGCGTCTTCTTCTTCTTCTTCCTTTTTTTTTAAAAAAAAAATTTAGATTCAAACACTTGGAGGATACATGTCTATTGTTTAGATACACACGAAACTAATTATAAGTTTAACCAAAATAACTTAGAATACGATAATGAAAAAAAAACCATGTCAATTTATAAAAATTATATTATATTGCAATTATATATTGTCTTGAAATGATATATTCATATATATGACATAATAAATATACAAACTAATATATTTTGTGCATGTCCCCTACGTAGCATGTTCATGTCGTATCTGTGTCGTGTCACGTGTCTATATTTCTTAGATTGTGCCACATAAGATGGTTTTCAAAATGTGGTCAAAGAAGATGGTATTTATAGCATTACACTCTTTATTAAAATAACTTCTTAGATTGTGCCACATAAGATGGTTTTTTAAATGTGGTCAAAGAAGATGGTATTTGTAGCATTATATTCTTTAGTAAAATAACTATATAAGAGGAATGGACAAAATACAACTCCCTAATCCCACCTCTGACCCAAACCAAAATTGGGTATTGCTCATTTTTGCTGACCCGTCCCCTATCCTACTTAAGCTGTCCCTGAACTCATCCCCCATTAGAGTTGGAGCAGGGCAGGCAACAAGAGAACCCAACCATGATATAGTTACACACACATCCAGAAAACTTATATTAACTTGTTTATTGCAAAAATTAAGTTAACATGCAACTATGCTGAGTTGACTACTTTTATGTCCACAAAATAAAATTTTCTCATAACAACAAACCTTTGAATGATGTTAAAAGGATCGATCATTTTAATCAATTTTACCTAATAAGTTACGATAGAAGACTTCCAAACCTATGGCTCAACAAGTACTAATAGTTCATTGGTTAAATGAATTGTACTTTTACTAACGTTGTGTTTGGTTGGGTTGAGGGATTTGAAAAGAGATTTAAAAAGGCAAGAAAAAAAGTGTGTGAAACTAAGTGAAATATAGATATATTTTATTCACATTTCACCTACCTTTTCCTTTTCCCTTTCTCTTTCCTCTCTTTCCCTTTCCCTTTCCTAATCCATTCCCAAATCTCCTAACCAAAGATAGTGTAAAGGTTTAAAACATTGCTAAATTAATTTATGATTTCATGTTATAAAATACTTAGAGATGACCTATATCGTTTAAGTTTTGGTTTTCATATATTTCCTTCCTAAAACACTTGAAATTAAAACAAAACAATTTCTACCCCTATCCAGTTTTTTGCAAGTAAATTTTCAATTCATATCTAAACTAGGTCTCTGAACTATGCCAAGCTATATATATGGCCTAAGCAAATAATCCAATTTATCCATTCAAGCAACAAAAGTTCAACATACCTTTAAAAAATGTATTTTATGCAAAAGCACCAAATTGTTGAAAAATACGTATTTTATGTATTTGGTTAGACTTCTCGTTTGGCAAGTGGCTTTTTTAGACAAAAAATCAAAAAATCACTAAAAAAATCAAAAAGTCAACAACCCATATTAAAAAGTCAAAGATTCCATTTTCTTTCTATTTTTTGCACATCTTTTCGTAAAAAGTTAAAAAGTCATCCCAAACATACTAATTTTTTTTTATATCACATTTTAGCCAAAAAACCTAAAAAGTTACTAAAAAGGCATGATCCCAAATGAGGCTTTTGTTAATACATACACCCACCCCTCTCTCCCCAAGGAGAAAATCCTAGTGTCATCCCCTAGTCACTCTAGCTTTGTTCTATGAACCATACCCATAGCAACATACATCATATGATATATTTTTTCTTGACATAGAAAGGTGATTACCTATAAAGTACTGATACTTCAAAATAAATATTGTATCCATGTCGGACACATGGACACTTGTTGGGACACGTCACATGGCGTGTTTCCTTAATTAATTTATTTTTAAGAGACACGCCGTGACACTTCGGGACACACTAGGAACATGGTAACTTATCTTTTCTCCCATTTTCTTTAGTGCTTTTGATGAATGTTGTATATTGAATATTTATTATTTTTTTTCTTAGACTTAAATATTTAATAGATCATTCATTATTAAATATATATATATATATATATAAAGTGTAAGTATTAATTTAAAAGTGATTTTTTTTTTAAAATACAAAATTAGAATTAGTTTTATTAATATTGATTATTTGTGAATGTAATATTAATATAGATAACAAATAAAAATATATAAAAATATATTTTATTGGTGTGTCCCTCGTGTCCGTGTCCCTATTTTTTTTTTAAATCGCTGTATCCGTATCTATATATGTGCTTCTTAGGTGATTACACGATGCTAGTCCTGTGAATGTATGTCCTGTGAAGTTTGCAACGGGAGAGTCCATTAAGGGATCAACAGTCTTCCTTCGGTATACAGGATGTCTTCGCCCACCTTTACATATGCGATTGTTCACTCGACCTGGCTGCCCAGTTGCGAAATATATATCTATAGCTATCAAAAAAGCAAGAAATAGCATTCAACTAAGTAGCTCAGTCTCTAGGAATTCCTATGCGTTATGAAGAGAGAAGCCTACTTGAAGAAGGCTGCCAAGAGCAGCAAGCCTACATTAAGCAAGTTGACTCACTTTATGTTATGTAAAGAGTTCGCCTCGCTATTAGGGCCCAGTTCTTCCGCAAGCGAAGGCCCGTCAAATTGGTCTCAAAGAAAGTAGGGGAAAAGCTCAAAAAATCTTCCACTTCTCTATGACATTGAATTTATCAAAGTTAAAATTACCTACCACATTGGCAGCCTGTGAACAGACATACGAAGATATTTAAACAAGTGGGCATTGAAAGAGGGGGGAAAATCTCACTAACCAGAACCAGCAGCAGTAACCGCTTGTCTGTACTTCTTGTCCTGAACATCTCCAGCCGCAAAAACTCCGCAAACACTGGTCTGCGTCGTGCCGGGCTTCGTCACCACGTAGCCATCCGAATCAAGCTCCAATTGCCCATCCAAGAACTTGGTAGCTGGCTCATGACCAATCGCAAAGAACAAACCATTCACCTTCAAATCAGAGACCTCTCCGCTAACCACATTCTTCACCTTCAATCCCCCCAAAACTTTCTTTCCCCCTTCTCCATACGCTTCCACCGCCACTGAATTCCACATAACCTCAATCTTAGGGTTAGTCAAAGTCCGATTCTGCATAATCTTCGAAGCCCTAAATTCTTTCCTCCTGTGAATGATGTAAACCTTCGATCCGAACTTCGTCAAGAAATTCGCCTCTTCCATGGCCGAGTCTCCTCCACCGATTACCGCCAACGGTTTGTTCCGGAAGATCGGGGCGGCGCCGTCGCAGACCGCGCAAGCCGAAATTCCCTTGTTCCAGAACCCTCCGGGACCGTCTTCGGCGCCGGGGAAGTTCAACCGTTTCGCGACGGCACCGGTGGCGACGATCACCGAATCGGCTAGGACGGCCTTGGAATCGGCGAAGACCTTGAAGGGACGAGTGGAGAAATCGACTTTCGTCACGGTTTCGGTGAAGATCTCGGTGCCGAATTTGAGGGATTGGTTTCGGCACTTTTCCATTAGGTCCAAGCCGAGGATTCCTTCTGGAAAGCCGGGGAAGTTCTCGACGTCGGTGGTGGTGGTGAGCTGGCCCCCGGGGGCGATGTTGTTGGCCATCCAACCCTCGAAGAGAACGGGCTTCAGCTCGGCCCGGGCCGCGTAGATGGCGGCGGTGTGGGCGGCGGGGCCGCTTCCGATGATGCAGAGGCGGGTCTTGAGGGTCTGAAAGTCGTCCATGACGGCGGCGGAGCTGGCGGCCGTGGTGGGAGAGGCGGCGGCGGCGGCGGTTGTGGCGGCGATACCTACCAAGTTGCGAAGTCTTCTTAAGGCGCTCGCGAGCTTTGGCAAACAGTGCGTTTGTATGGGCCTCAGTCTCTGTATAGTCGTCATTCCGTATCCGTGTAACGCGTGTATCTAGAAAACACGGTTTTGGGCGGGAAAATGGATTACATTATTAGGGTTAGGGTTTTGGAATCGGATATGTCCATATCCAAACAGAGATGCAAAGGTATATGTGATCAAGTAAGGAGGAACGTAACACGAAATGTAGATATTCTTTGTTTGTTAATTAATACAACGCATATATTCTTTGTTTGTTTATTTTTAACCATTTTAGGTTTTCGACAAGGATAGACAATTCCAGTTTAGCGTCAAAAAATTGTTTGACAATATATTTATAAACAGTTCTGCTAGGTAGCTCGAAAATGAGGTGCCCTGAATGGGTCAAATGCCAAAACGGCGTCGATTGGCATTTTTTTTTTTTTCTTTTTCTTTCTGAAACTGGTTTGAGAGAATGAAAGAAAAACAAAGAGGTGAGAGAAAGAAGAGGAAGAGAGTAGAATTCCTTCACGCATTCCATCAAACACCATACTGGCGTCTTCCAAAGATCGACATTTAGCATACATACTAACCAATTTAGTGTCAGTAAATAGATCAATCTCGCTTAACAAACCAATATGCTTATGCAATTTATTGCCTAAATGGATTGAATTTGCATCTCTTTTTGAAACCAAACTCAGAATCTTCCTCTTCTTCCTCTGTTATTTTCTGTTTGGTATTTTTGGTGATTTCAAAATCAAAATCAAAATCAAAATTAAAACCCAAAATCAAAATCAAAACCAAACCCAACCAAAAATCAAAATAAAACCCAAAATCAAGATCTAGCTTCAGCTTACCTTGGACCCACATTGGGCAATGGAGTCAAGAGAAGCTATGGCTTCTTCCAGGCGTCTATTTTTGCAGAGAAAGTTCAAATGTGCTTTTGTGACTCTTGAATCAAGTTTTATGGAGACTACTGGGTTGAAAGCTTCGGTGTATGTGTTGGGTTCAAGTGGGTCGAGCATAGTGTACAAGGCGGTGATGGAAGATGGGAGTGCGGTGGCAGTAAGGAAGATAGGAGAGGGAGGAAGTGAGAGAAAGAGGAGAAAGATGGAGGTTTAATAGAGATGAGAGGGATCTAGGATGAGAGGGAACAAAGATGAAGAGGAGATGAGAGGAGAGGAGAGAAGAGAGAGATAAAGAGGAGAGAGAAAATTTGTACCATTTCGAGCCATTCGAGCTCAACAACTTTGAGCTACGAATCATTTTTCATTTATAAATTAGATCAAAAATAAATAAATAAGGTAAATTACACTAACACTCTCTTGAGATTTCTGTTTAATATAGATTTTCTCTTCATGTTTGAAAAATTACATTTTCCTTACTGAGATCTGTAACTTATTATAAATTGCCCCCTGAATGCCTTAAAATTTCTAAATGACCATTTTACCATTTTTCCTACTATTTTTTCTTCCTATCATCATGATTACATTCTACAACTTTTTATCATTAAATTCTACATGAACATATTCTTATTGAGTCATATACAAATACAAATTTTATATAAAATTTTCAAACATAATTATATAACTTAATGGTGATCTTTCACTTTAAAACAAAACACCCATAAACATTATTTATATTTATAATAACATCACTATCACAATATTTTTATGATTTTTTTTTTTTGGTATAAATTTTTATATATGAATAGAATTTTTCATTTATATTTCTACTATTATTTTTCTTTTTCGTCTATTCACTAACATTTATTATAGTATTACCAAACACCGTCATTCATATTTGTTACAGTATTACTGAATTTGTGTATTTTTATATATTTTTTGTATTTGGTGAATTTAAAAAAAAAAATCACAAAATATTATATTTCTTAAGTATATATATGGATTAGGTATATCTAAAAAATAAAAAAAAGAGGGCTGATATTTACCCCCACCTAATTACTTTGGCTCACCCACTCAGCAAAATGAAACCCCCTACATTTTTTCTTTAAACCCTCATTTTAATACCAACTATATCCCTAATCCCAAACCCAAACCCAAACCCAAACCCAAACCCAAACCCTAACTCCTTCCACTTTTCTCTCTAATGTGGATTCTCTCTTATTTTCTTTGTTTTCTTACATTCAAATCAAGTATACGTGAGAAATAGAGCAAGAGAAAAGACCCATCAACAATGGCGACCATTAAAACCTCTATCATAGGCTATGGCGAGTGATTTCTTGCATTCCTTCTCCCTCTTAGGTTTTCATCTCTCTCTCTCTCTCTCTCTCTCTCTCTCAATGGATAGGGAAGTCACAATGGTAGAGTGAGTTCAGCAACACAGTGTTGAACAAATCTTAAATGTTCAGCAACATAGTGTTGAACAAATCCTGAATGTTCGAAAACAAAGTGCTGGAGAAATCTTTTTAATTCGATTACACAGTGCTGAATGTGTTGATCTCTCTTCTCTAATTTAGATCTACAATAGGAGATGGGGGTGCTTGTTGGTAGAGGTGATGGTAGATTGTGACAGAATGAGTAGTGATTGTGATGGTAAGAAGTGGTCAGAGATGGTAGAGGTTTTAGTAATGAGGGGTGGTTAGAGATAGTAGTGGCGGTGGTGGCGATGAGAGGTGGTCGGAGATGGTGGTATTGTCGGAGATGATTAGGGTTGAGTTAGAGTTTGGAAAATTAGGTTTAGAAGATTAGAAATGAGGATAAAAGTGGAATTTTTTATTGGGACAAAATTGGAATTAAAAAAAAATTAGTGAGGTGGGGGTTCTAAGAAAAAGGGTAGGGGTTAATAGCAATGCTTTAAAAAAAATTACTGAAAATATTTAAAAAAAATCAGTAAAAATAAAAAAAAACACGAAAAATATAAAATAAAATAAAAACTTTTTTGTGAGTTAAACCAAAAAAGATAATTGTTATTTCTCTTGAAATGACATGAACAAAATATTAGTATTATTTTATTATTTTATATGTATAGCAAATATGTCATTTTAATCTAACAGGGAAGTAAACGTAATTTTTCAAATATGAGAGGAGAATTTGTATTAAATAAAAATCTCAGGGATGCCAGTGTAATTTACCCAAATAAATAAATAAGATTCACTGGTGAGAAATTTACATTTATAGGAGATTCAATGTTAGATCAAATGATTGTTTTCTTTTTTTTGTTAGTGACATCAAAAAAGTCATGAAAAAATGTTATTGGCGTTAGAAAAATTGTTGAAAAATTAATTTAAAAAGTCATCGTGAAGTTGGCTGAAAATTTTGTTGACAGTGATCAAGCCAGTGGCTGGTGATAATAAAGTGAACAATATGTCACACATATACATATATAATTAATATTAGTGGTCACCCGTGCGATGCACAGGATTTTAAAAAGTCAATAATTATTATAAAAAAATTTGTTATTTATTTATATTTCTTAATATTTTTATTTGGTTTGTGTATATAAATCTTATTTCACATCATTAAAAATATTTAATATTTCACATTATTGAAAATTTTAAAAAAGTATTATACATTAGTAAATCATCACATATATAATAGCTAATTTATCTAAGAATTACTTCAGAAAACCAAAAGTAGAGTAACAAAGACATATTATAATTAATCAAAATGACTAATATATTAAATAAAAGTAACACTAATTTTGCTTAATCAATAGTAGATATTACAGTAATCATCTCATATAATATAATAAATTAAAATAAAATTAATTTTAATTCGTGAGAATCACAAATGAGAAATAAATTTTTTTTACATGC